CTTACTCCTGCAGGCCAGCCTGGGGTCACTGATGTGGCATCTGGACAGGGTTCCAAGAGAGAGGCCTAGGTTTGGAACTGGTACATCGTTACTTTTATCACATTCTATGGCCAGAACAAGTCACAAACGGCCCAGATGGAAGAGGTGGGGGAGTAAGCAAAGTAGCAGCATGTATATATAACCTATTACCATCTCAAGACAACACAGATAACAAAAACAACCTTTCTGAAAATTACTGTACTTGTACCTCTCAGTACCCATTTGGAATAGGAACATTGTAGTGTTGCTAGGCAATGGGTAAAGACAGAGTTCTTCAGGAAGTTTTGGGTCCACTAGTGATTTGCCAACAGTATGGCATGGATCACAAATTTGGAGCACCTTTGAACGACTATGGCTGTATTTAATTATGGGAAAGTGGTTATTTGCCATCGTTCTTAAAAAACACTGATTATTTTTCATTTGAATGGCAAGCTAAATAATATATTATTCTTTTATTTTCTAGAAACCCAGTAGTTTCCAAACTTAGTGTATATTCAGAATCACCCAAGATATTTGTTACAAATGAAGCTTCCTGGCCCCATCCGCAGAAATTTTATGGTGTGGGCCAGGACTCTACAGTTTAATAAGCTCCACAAGAGACTCTGAAGCAAGTAATCAACAGACCGTTACCCATGGGCTCACAAAACAGTAGGGCAAGAGTTGGGGCCACCTCCTGTAAACCTGGATCTGGTCAGGCAATCCCCAAGGGAACTTCTGAAACCATTCACCCCCTTTTCCATTTTTCCCACTCTTTGCAATAGCTGGTCTGCCTTATCCTCACCACATGGACAGTTAACTCTTCATAGTGTAAATATTGGCATTCTGGCAGCAGGAGGGAGGATCCCACAATGCAACAGAGTGTGGGCAGTCCGGTTATTGATGGCCAGTGGGGAAGGAGGGCCTGATTTAGGTCCATCTCTCTGTAACTCTTTAATTTCCTCTCTTTTGCTCTCTCTTTTGTTAACTTCCTGTTCTGTACTTCATAATCATATTGTAGGAAATTTATACTTTCCTAAGAATACCTACCCAGTCTTTGAAGATTTTTTTTTTAAAGGCTTTTCCTGTGTGGCTACATGGTTTTCATTATTGAGTAAAAGAGTACATGAAAATTGTCATTTTATCAGTAACGTCTAAATATGCAGTAATGTCATTTAAAAGTTAGTGCACCATTAGAACACCCCAGTACTCATCGCTGCACTCAGAACAGGATATTTGCATAATCTCAAAGGCTCTCCCATGAAATATCAATTACAAAAGGGAAAAACAGTGGCTTTGTTGTGGAGCAACCCCACAGACACCACCTTAATCAAGTGATCAAAGTCAACATCAATAGAAGGATCTACGCCATGATGTAGCCCTTGAAATCGCGCATGGAGAAGGGCACATGGCTTTTGTGGTCTTCCTCTCAGTAATGCGTGAACTCACTCTAACCACGAGAAAACATCAGCAAGGCCCAAATGGCAAGTCATTCCACAAAGTGCCTGACCAGTATTTTTCAGATGTGCCGAGGTTGTAAAAGACAAAGACTGAGAAATTGTCACAGATTAGAGGAGACTAAAGAGCCATGACAACTAAATGCGACGTGAATTGGATCCTGGAACAGAAAAAGAACATTAGTGGAAAAACTGGAAAAATTTGAATAAAGTCTATAGTTCAGTTACCACTATTGTAACATTGTTAATTTATTACTTTTGATAATTGTACAGTGATGTTGCCATGAGGGGAACCTAGATGATATATGGGAACCTTCTTCTATTTTTTGCCCCTTTTCTGTAAGTCTAAAATTATTTCACAAAAAGAAGTTGAAAAAATTACATTTATTTAGTAATGTGTACACACTGCAATAGCTTAGTATTCAAGAATATATAAATCTCGACTCAGCCAACCTCTTCAGCATGCATCCCACCAAACACACTTTCATGTTCTAGCCAAACTAAGTCATTTGTTGTTGTTAATTAACCCCCCTGGGGGGCAGGGAGGAGTAATACAATTTTTATGTGTATTACAAGTGTTAAAATCCAATGTAACAACTAGCTGCTGACCCACACCTCATTTTAAGACCTATCGCAATGCAGTGAAACCCCCTTGTCTTCCCTTCGTTTACGATATTCTGCCCTTCTTGTCCCTTCTACCCCTGTCACACAACTGCCGCCAGTTGGAGATGATCAGTGGAATTTGGTATTTACTCTTCTTGTTCATTGTTTTGCACCTGTCAAAACTTAAATTGCATCCTACCACATCAGATCTACGACTTGCTTCCTTTGCTCTACATGTATGTTTAATTCATTCTTTTTCCCTACTGTATACATTTTCACTGTATGAATACTTGGTGTTTATCCATTCTCCTCCTGGCAAACATATTGAGGGAGTTTGTTGTTGTTGTTCTTGTTTTTTGTTGTTGGAATAGGTGTTCATTTCGAGAAATATTTTCTCAGGCCAGAGGAGATCTCGACTCTTCTGAACTCTAGTAACACTATCCATATGATTTTTAACTTGGCATTTGTGACCTTGCATTATAATTATTGTTCTTTTCTCCCATTATCAGGTGAAAACTTCTTGAGGGTATAATTCCCCAAGGTGGATGTTATTGGGGTAATAAGCATTTAATTTTGTCAAATGAATAAGTAAATCCTTAGATGAATTAAACACTGTCTACATACAGATCTTGGGCATATTTGTATTTATTCCCATCATTGTTATATGGTGTTGCCTCCTGGGAACTTTCTTTGTTAGAAAGATTTATGCAGTGTGGGAAACTGGTCACTGAGGTGGAAGTACGGAACATAAATAATGCCTAAAGCTTTAATTTTAGAATTATGTGCTAAGTTTGCAGACAGTGCAGGTACAGGTTTTTGTGTTGAACATCCTAGGGGAATGTTGACAAAATTTGATCTGCATTTGGCATTACAAAGCAGAAAGGATCTGACTGTATTATGACAGAACTCTTGATTTTGTGCGTATTCTTATTAGAAAACTGAATATTTACTTTTGATCATTTAGAATTTGTCCCCAGAATGGAATTACCCCAAATGAGTTGTTTTCCTCCCACAACCATTTTATTTGGATGTTGATCTTAATCTGCAAAAACATTTAACAGATTTCGCAGCTCTCTTGCCTATCTTATTTGATGTCTACAATAGCTTTGGCAGAGATAAGCAGGGCTAATATTATCATCCATATTTTATAGGTTAAGAACACAGAAAGGAAGCTGGGGAAGGTTGGGAGACCTGTTCAAGGTCACATAACAGACACCACATCATTCAACTCAATCCTATCTCTGTCCAGATATTATAGTTTGAATGCTTAAAATAAGTGAAAGTATTAATTAAAATGTTATTGCTTCACCAGCATTTTAATAGATAATTCAATAACATAATGCCCACTTGACAGTTCATTGAGTAATTTGGGAGTGTCTCATCATTGTTAGTGATAGATTAGTAACTGCCATTTTGCTGCCCTCTTTGTTAGAAAGATTTCAAAGAAAAGCTTAAGCCAAACATTGCAGAAGAGCATGTGTGTCTTGTATTTTAAAGGAAAGAAACTCTTATAAGTGAAACAGATAAAATGATGTGACATAACCTAAAGTTAAACTATCTGAGAAGACAAATGGCTTTTTGATAGCTCGAGACCTACAGATAAATTAAAACCTCTCGGCATATAGACTAGAGCAGTTGATCACTCAAATTGCAGGCTTAAATAATACAGAAGAAGTACACTTAGAATATTGTCTTCATGTCAGAAATGCACCTTTGTGCTTGAAAATGATAAAAAATTACAATCGATCTTTACAACTGTTCTGTTCATCTTTATTGATCAGGTGCAAGAAAGATAAATTGTAGCCCAAATAAGATTATAGTAAATGTTAGCATCATAGGGGACTGTAGGTTGATAGAAAGCCATTCATCATCTCAAATGGTGACCTGTCCATGGCTCCAGCCACCCTGAGTCTGCTGTCTAATCACATACCTATTGATTTTATCTACATCCAAGAAACCTGGATGTGACTGTCATTGGGCAACCCAGATTGTTAAATGCAAAGGGGTCACTGGTGTGAAGGGGATTTCATTTTCATTTTTTCACCAACCAACAATGATTTATTAAAAAGTAAACTACCCCAAGCCTTGCATGTGAAACCTGAGTGATTAGGAAATGAAAGATACACAGTAGGCCACTGTATTGTGTTGTGTTTTTTGTGCTGCAGTGTATTTTGCAGGATATTTCCTTGAGTCTGAGAGCTCATGGGGTCATTGAGGCCACCCCCTGCAGTAAGACTGGTTTCAAAGTAGCTAGTTAGAATGGATAATTTTAAATTTTGCTGTCCCAGGAAAGGCATTACTTTGCCATTACACCTTGGTTTACGTAGTTTACATGTTCATTCATGTAATAGTGGGAACATTTTTTTTGTATTATAACTACCTAAATCTGTCGCCTTGTTCCTACTTACTAGTTATAAATGTTGATGCTCTTGTGGTTATGTGAAAGTGATAGAACAGATTCTACTCCATACGGAATTCATCTTGAGGACAAAAATATTGTATAGAAAGAAATGATCCTTTAATATCCTAGTTGGAACACTGATGGAATAATAGGCAGATGTGAATGTGTGTGAATTTCATTTTTTGATTTCAGTCATTCTTTGATCTTGCAGTGGTAGATTCCAAATAAAGGCAATCTAAATAATTTTCAAAAATGGTAGGAATTTCCTCATAAGAATCAAACGATGGATGAATTATAGCTATGAAAGTTTACTCTAATTATAATCTGTATGCCAACAACTCTACTGTCATTTAAATGAGTAGCTTTACATGTATTTTTATAAGTATCCATGCCAGTTGTGCAAGAAATCCTTCTACTGCTTGAGTGGCTGAAACAAGGTTTTATGTATTTTTTGAAATTGTAAGTCTTCCACACATTTTGTCTTCTTGCATATTGAAAACTTTGCAATCAATCTTTGTTCGCAGAGCTCAGAGTTCTACAAAGTCACCACTGAGCAGTATCAGAAAGCTGCTGAGGAGGTGGAAGCAAAGTTCAAGTAAGTTTCTAATAGTATTATAATTATTTACTATTCTTAAGAAGATGAAAGCAAGATTTTATTGCTTTTTGAGTGGCAGATAGTTTGTTATGCAGCACTCTGGAATACTTAAAGTGTTTTGGGCTGGTTGAGGTGGGGACATGTTACCTACTATACTGGAATTCAGATACAACAAAAGGGCATTTCATGAAAAAGCTTGTTGCAACCCAATCTATTTTATGAACTAAGGGAAATTGAAAGCAATGGTAATAGAATTTTCATTTGGAATAATATGTAAAATAGAATGCCCTTGATTATGAAGGTGATGTTAAATTGCTACCTCTATTAATACAAACATAGAAACCATTCACTTTTGTATAATAGAATGATGGGCATGTCCAAATTTGAGTATCCGCCTTTCTCATGGTTAGGCTGTTTTCATTTCTTCACATGTACCTTGAAAGCATTTAAATCATATACTTTACCTGGCCCTTGATTATGAAGGTGATGTTAAATTGCTACCTCCATTAATCCTTGGAATGTTTAAATGAATGTTCTGTAATTGATGGATCAAAGTGTTGGTGACCCATAACCTTGTACTTTCCCTTTGCTGCCAGTTCTCACATTGGGTAAGAAGACATCATTCAGAATTTTTCTGAGTACATAAATAGTTCTATTGTGTAACCCCTATTAGTAGCACATGTGCAAATTAGTGAAGCAAAAAGGTGTTGTGAAGGCTTTAGTTGAAAGATTGCATTGGGCTCTGACCTCCTTCCTTGTATGTGTTTATAAGCATTTGATAAAATGATTAAACCGTAAGGTGGTGTTATTACTTTCTGCGATAGTACAATTTGAGTGGTAATGGATATCAGTGTTATTTTAATGTTGATTAAAATAAGATTTTTATTTAAAAAGATAGTTTGAGCTTTATTTAAACCGGCGAAAACCTTCAGTGTTCCTTAGTGAATTATTTCTTTAGGGGCCCTCTAAGAATGGGCCACGAATCTCACTCTTAAAGATTAATGTTAGGTCTTAAGGATTTAGAACTGGGTGTTGATTTTATTTTAAAAGTTACTCTACATATATGTTTTTAAGTTATATATTTGTTTTTCTCCCTAATGATAAAACATTTCTTTTGTAAACCTTTTTGTCTCTATACTATGAGAAACTTTTTTTTTTTTTTGAGACAGGGTCTCACTGTCACCCTGGCTAGAGTTCAGTGGCATCATTATAACTCGCTGCAACCTCAAACTCCTGGGCTCAAGTGATCCCCCTGCCTTAGCCTCCCAAGTAGGTGGGACTGCAGGCATGAATAACCACACCTGGCTAATTTTTCTATTTTTGTAGAGACAGGGGTCTCGCTCTTGCTCAGGCTGGTTTTGAACTGCTGACCTCAAGCAATCCTCCTGCCTCAGCCTCCCAAAGCACTAAGTTTGTAAGCATGAGCCACTGTTCCTGGCCCTATGTGAAACTTTGACTTGGCTCCCTGGGTATTTCTTCATTATAAAATAATAGCTATAAAAATAACTGAAATTTAATATGCTTCAGAGATCAATTCTGACTAAAGAAAAGAAGGTGATTTTGGGGGGGTTGAGGCTTAAGAGTTTTGAATAGAAAGAAGGGAAAGATATCAAGGAGGAAAATCATGCTCTGTTGTTGGTGGCTGACAAGTGAATGGCTTGACTCAGAGTGATTAGAGCAAGATAAAGCTGGAAAGATCGTTAAGGTCATTAGCTGCTGGGCTAAGAAGTTTGGTCTTAGTTTAGCAAGAAGTCATTGGGAAGTGTTTGACCAGGTGAGTGCCCTGATTGCTGTGCTTCTGCAGGAAGAATAATCTGACAGTGGATGTGAGGTTTGGTTGGAAGCATGAGAAATGAGAACCAGAAGTATCAGATTCTGGAGGTCTCTAGAAGTGAAAGAGAAAAAAGAGATTGGTGCAAAAAAGTTGTTGAAAGATCATACGAACCACATGAATTCGTGGTTGGTTGGTGTATTAGTTTGCCAGGACTGCAAAGTACCACAGACTGTGTAGCTTGAATAATAGAAATTTATTTTCTCACAGTTGTGGATACTGGAAGTCTGAGATCAAGGTGTTGCCAAGGTTGGTTTCTTGTGAGGCGTCTCCCCTTGGCTTGTAGGTGGGCACCTTCTCCCTGTGTCTTCACGCGGTCTTTCCTCTGTGCGTGTCTTTATCCGAATCTCCTTTTCTTATAAGGATATCAGTCATATTGGACCAAAATCCACCCTTATGGCCTTATGTTAAGCTAATTACTTCTTTAATGACCTTCTCTCCAAATACAGTCACATTCTGAGATACTGGGCACTAGAACTTCAATGCCTAAATTTAGGGGGAAGAGAATATTGCCCATATAGTTTAGATAGAAGGGGCAAAAGAGAACCAGAATTGTGAGTTTAGCACACTGAAAAATTGGTGGAAAGTGCATTTTATAGAGAGAGATAAGTCTGGTTTTAGATAAGAAAAATCTCTCTTCTAAAGCCCTGCCCAGCTGCCACGTCATTCACCATGGACTAGACTATTGGAGAATGAGAGACATATGAAGCACAAAGTTAATGTCATGAGGACTTAGCTTCCACAAGTCACCAGTGACCTGTAAGTTGGACTTAGTTTTAAACAGAACCTCAACAGCATCATTCCCTCTTACCTTTTTAAGACTTTATTCTTGGCCGGGTGTGGTGGCTCACACCTGTAATCCTAGCACTCTGGGAGGCTGAGGAGGGCGGATTGTTTGAGCTCAGAAGTTCAAGACCAGCCTGAGCAAGAGCAACACCCCGTTTCTACTAAAAAAAATACAAAGAAATTAACTGGACAACTAAAAATATATATAGAAAAAATTAGCCAGGCATGGTGGTGCATGCCTGTAGTTCCAGCTATTCGGGAGGCTGAGGCAGGAGGATCGCGTGAGCCCAGGAGTTTGAGGTTGCTGTGAGCTAGGCTGACGCCACGGCACTCACTCTAGCCAAGGCAACAGAGTGAGACTCGGTCTCAAAAAAAAACAGACTTTATTCTTTATATGATGCTATTCATCTGGCCAAACTGTGTAGTGAGGATTTGGTCTTGCCCAAAGACAGGTCTAGACTTTGTGCCAGGTTCCTGTGAGGTAACCTCTAAAGCCTTGAAATTTCCCAAGTGATAGAAACTGTTATTCTTGGTGGGCCCCTCAAGCCATGTGGTGTCAGCCCAGTCTCTGGAGAGGTGAGTTTAATCACGTGGGCAATCAACCAAGCTGTTTAATGAGGCCCCAATGAAATGCTGAACACTGTAGCTCAGGTGAGCTTCCCCGGCTGATGGTACTCTATGGGTATTGATGCCAGGAGGCTTTGCATTTGGAACCCTCCCAGACTCTGCCCTGTTCATTGCTTCCTATGGCTGATTTTCTGTTTCCTTGTCCTGTAATAAGCTGTAACTGAGTTTAATAGCTTTCAGTGAGTTCTCTGAGTCCTTTTAGTGAATTACTGAACTTCAGGGTGGTTTGGGGGGAGCCCCTTCCTCAACATGCTGTTGGTGTCAGAAGTGAAGGCAGTCTTGAAGACCGTGCCCTCAGATTTTGCAGTTTGGCTAACTCCAGTACAAACAAAAACCCAGGTTTTAACATGTTGTGAAGAAATTTCATCAGCTAGTTTTTCAGAAAGTTGTTTTCATTATACCTTTTTTTTTTTTCCAGCTGCTACTCACTAGACTGAGCTTCCTAGGATGTTGTGTTTTGATTTGTATGTAATGAGTTTGTTGGCTTCACACCTAAGAAGAAGGGGTGGTACATTGGCTGTAAGAGATGTTTACCGTCTTTGAAGGCACGGAGATTACTTAGTAGAATGCTATTTCTTCTTAGAAATTTGGCCACCTTGGATAATCCTGACTCTTCAGTCTTTCATAAGGCAGTATATTATATTGTTTCCATTGCATGAGGGAGTCTTCTTGCCTGGCCAAGTTATTTTCACTTGCTCCTGTCTGTATGTCCAGCTTAGCCCCTGTAAGCTTTACCTTGAAGACCTCTGACCATTTAGAACATGAAGCCAGCAGTCCCTCTTAGGCCACAAGCTCTGAAGGACTTTGAGGAAGATTTAGTTAATTTTATCTCATGGACATAGGATTTATTTAGGTGCATCTTGGTTACAGGAAATGGAAGATTTTTAAATTGCAATTTCAAGGGCAATATTGTATACCTGATAGGGAGCCACACAAATCACCATAACGAGAAAGCAAGCTAAGAGCATTTGAGGCTGCACATGACTAACACCGGCTAGCTACATCAATGCATTCTCCCAGGATAGCTAATGGAATTATTTTAGGGATGCTTAAAATGTTAATTCACACCTCAGTCTCTCAGTTTATAGTTTGGCAGTAAACCATTAAAACACTTTAGCATTAATGGATTTTCCCCCATTTTATCCACATGTCATTCATTCACAGAGCTCCCTCGTGACATGTCCTCTGCCAAGTTCCGAATATACAGCTATGAATAAGACAGGCCAGGATCTTAGGAGCATGGAACTTAAGTTCATCAGAAAAGAACAGAGGAAGGCAAACTTTTTCAAATGACGATCTTTTTAAAAATCCCAAATTAGTTCTCCTGTGATGGCATGTTTACATCCCTAGTGAATATCCACTCACTAACAAATATTACCCTGATTTCAGTGGGAATTAAAGGATTTGAGGATAATTTTTTTAAAATTTTTTAGTAGAGATGGGATCTTGCTGTATAGCCCAGGCTGCTCTCAAACTCTTGGCCTCAAGTGATCGTCCTGCCTCAGCCTCCCAAAGTGCTGGGATTACAGGTGTGAGCCACTGCGCCCAAATTTGAAGATAATTTGTACTGCTGATTTTCCCACAATAAGTTTAAAATTTTAGCTGTAAAACCTAAATCACTGAACAAATCCAGCATTCTTTTTACATCTAGCTTTTATTCAAAAGGAATACCTTTTATTCCCCGATCCAACTAAAACAGTAATTACCAACACTTCATATGACATTTTAGAGCAACTTATGGTGCTAGTTCCCAGTT